TCGACCAATGAGTGCGTTGCTGGAGACTCGCCTGATCTCGTCGCCGAGGTCACCAGAAGGGCTCGACTTCTGTCTTCGCCGTCCGATTCGCTCTCATGAACCAAGGTGAATTTTGTTCTCAGATGCTTTGCAGGCGGGAGCGGCTGTCGGCGCACGCTTGGTCGGCGGGGGTTTCGCCGCTGATCGCGGCCGCGATGGAGTCGACGCGGCCGAGCAGTACATCTCTCTGGCCGTGGCTAAGTGGAATGATGCATGCAAGGGGCTGGCCCGTGAGGAGTGGGCTGCGTTTTTAAGTGGAGGCGTTAATCCGCCGGGTGCCAGGCGCGCCGACCAAATCACTCGTGACCCTGCTGCGCGGCGCCCTGCGCCCACGCCTAGCCGTTTTGGGAACGTCGTTTCGGACCCGCAAAAGGTCCTGAGAGCTGAGTCCAAGCCATGTGGGAACCATTGGAAGCCCCCCCCCCTGCCCCCCAAAACATATCGGCCCTACTGGGCCGCAGGCAAGCATCGTTCTGCCACCGACATTGTCTGGCGCCAGAGTGTCTGAGCCGAGACCGGCGCATCGGCTGGCGAGCACGCGGCGCCCATCTTCTGGGACGTTTTGAAGTTCTGCGAGCAGATGCCCCTGCATCTGCTCGAGGCGAGGTGTCATTGGTTCAGCTTCCGCCCGACTCTCGCCGGGGTCTGCCTTGCCGCGTACCGATCGAGTCGTTTTCTCGTTCTGGGCGGGGTCGTCGCTCCTGGGGTATTCGCCGGCACTGGTTTGGCCGCTGGTTGCTCCGTGGCCACCGCCCTCGTCCGTGTGCCTGGGGTCGAGGCGCATGACGGCCTCTCGCTTCCTCCCTCGGTTTCGCTCGATGTGTGCATCGTTGACACCAGCGTGGGCGCCTGGGCGGAGCTGGACAGATTGAGTCCCTCGTCGCTGACATGACCAGCGCTGCCAGCCAGCTCGAGCAGGCTATCTCGTGCGCGATGAAGGCTCGCATTGCCCTTGCTAAGGTGGGCATGGTTACCAGCAGTTAGGTCATTGCCAGTGGGCTCCAGGAAACCTTTGGAGATCTTGTGGGCTCCCACCTCAGGGCGGGCTGTGAATCTCGGTCGCGACCGCGCTGCTGGCGCCTCCCGCCGCGTCCGTGGACGCAACGCCAAGACAAGGGCTCGCTTGCTGACTGCCACGCGCCGCGCGAGGAGAGTCGCGCGGCAGCGAGGCTCCATTGGCAAGCGTGCGACAATTTTTTTGTGCTGGAGCTCTTCCAGCTCTGCAGTGCGGCGCGGGCGCCATCGGCATGTCCGACGGCGAACTGCTGCAGGTCATGCGTCCCGCGGCATCCACCATGCACCATGCAGCCTTTTTGTGGCGGCCACTCCTTGTGCATCCTCTTTCGTGTTGAAGGGGGTGCAGCGTGGCGTGGGTCTGTCGCTCCTCTTCTCCGCTACCGCAAAGAGTTCTGGCTCTTGCGCGCTCGTTTGACGGGGCGCGCCATGACCTGGGCCCAACTTCGAGAAGGCCGGGAAATCGTCTGGAAGAAACCTCAGCGGACCTGGAGATCTCAAGGAGCCTCTTGGGGCCATGTACCCTTCGGCGGCCAGACTGGGGTTGGCCGCGGGGGGCCCGTGCTCCCTGACCGGCGACCGCGGAGTCGACATTTCTTTCCTCCTCGTCGCTCCTGCCCCCCTTAAAGGACTTCGTAAATCTGCGATTTCAGAGCTCTTGATTGTGAGGCTGGTGAGAAGTACGGCCGTGGTTCCAGACTATGTTTCGACGTCCTCTGTTCGGCTCTGAATTCGAAGCGTTCCTCTCGCAATCAGAAAGGCGCTAGGAGGACGCTCGCGCGCCAGTGGCTTTGGCCTTTGAGCCGAGCCTTGGCTCTTGGATATCAAGTCGAAGACCTTTGTTCCCTTTGCGGGGCCGTGGGCGATGCCATCATTCACCGTCTCTGGTATTGCCCCTCCTTTGAATCTGGACGTTTTGATCACATCAAACATGGGTTGTTGAGCCGCGCCCGTCGTTAGCTGGAGGCCGGTGCCATCCCTCGGTTTAAGGTTCTCTGCGAGACGGGCTGTTCCCTCGCCCGTCCTCCGAGGCCCCCCTCCCTCGCTCTGCCCAGGAGTCGCAGGTTTCGGTTGTGTGTCTGAGATGCCCCCTGCAACTCTCGAGGCCGCGGGCCTCCCGCTTCGTGCCGATGGGGCTCAGGGAGATTCGGGGGAAACCGTCTTGGGTGGCTCGTGCTTCAGGTGCCCAGTCCGCGAACCATCTCATCTCGCTCTGGATGGGGGGCTGTCCGGCTTGGCGAGCTTGGGCATATCCTCGTGCGCATGTACGGCGCGGTTGTCATGTATGCCCTCAGACAAGCGTGGCCGCTGAATTTGGTCGCTCCAGTTGCCACCTCGTGCATCCTTCGAAGACATGGCTGAATTTGTTCTGACTGCAAGGTTGTAGTCGGCCAGTTCGCTTTGCCACTCGCTCAGAAGCTTTCCCCGAACAGGCCATACAGTGGCCTTGTGTTGCAGTGCCTGTCGAATGGTAATGGCCGGCTTGAGGGCGTTTCCAAAGTGAAAGCTCACCGTGAAGAAGGTTTCACCATGGACGCGGATGAGCTGCTACAAATTCGTGGCAACAATTGTGCAGATCAGGCGGCGAAGGCTGGGGCTCGCCTACGCGCGCCTCTAGATGACGACTTCGCGGTGAATATGTCCTTCCTGGTGTCAGCTTCCCTGGCTGTCGCCAAGCTCGCCGCCCGCCTCCTGGATTTCTGGCCCAGGACCAACCTGGGCGCTGTGTCTTGGGAGCGTCCGTCTCTTTTGGGACCTCCTAGGGACCTGGGTCCTGGGCGCTCCAGGAGCTGGGTCGGCAAATGTTGGCAATGCAACGAGTGCTGCATGAGCTCCCGTTCTGTTTCAAAACCGCCACCAGGGAGGTGCACTTGTAAACTGAAGGTTTCGCCTCAGTCCCTCAGGGGCTCAGGCCATCGTTGCATCGTTGCTGATTGCAGCGGCGGAAGTTTCCTTGCCTTCTGCCAGTTGTACTTCTTTTACACTTCTGGTGGTCAGATGCGTGGCTTGGGGGACCCTTGTCGGGCGCGACCCTCCGCCCTTTCTCAGGCTGCTGGAGGCCCTGCTGACAAGAGCTGGTCCTCTCACAACGCTCGCAGAGGAGAGTTGGGGTCCAAACTCAGCAAAAGACTCCACCCGCAGAGGAAAGGGGTCACAGTTGATTTGGGCGGCATCGGAGTTCTTTAGTCTCTCTGATGCTCTTTGTCCGTTTCGACGTGTCCTTGGCAGTGGATGTCAACAAATCTTCCTCCTCCTCCTCCTCCTCCTCCTCCTCCTCCTCCGCCCCCTCTTCCTCCTCCTCCTTCTCCTCCTCCTCCTCCTCCTCCTCCTGCGTCCTGCAAGGTGTGCATGCGCGGGCAGGGCCCTAGCCCTCCCGAGAGGCCGTTCTCTTTTTCCGCCCTCTGACCCTGTAGGTCCTTCGAGACATAAGACCAGAAAAGCGACGTCCTGACTTGCAATTCGCGGTGCCCCGAAGTCTTGACCCTTCCCTCCTTGAGATCCGACTCTCCAGAATTAGCCTGGCGAAGGACCCAACCAGATGCAGTTGTGAGTGCCGCAGTTGTGAGGATCGTCGTCGGTGGAACTCCCTATGGCGCCACAAAGCGTGTGAGGGGCGTGCCGATTTGGGGAGGTGGGCGGGTGCATGTGAACCCTCCCACTGGGACCTTAAACGTGTGAGGGGTGTGCCGAAACGGGCGTGACGCCCACATGCGAACTGCGCCACAGACCTTCGGTGGAGCTCCCTATGGGGGCCACGAAACGTGTGAGGGGTGTGCCGAAACGGGCGTGACGCCCACATGCGAATTGCAGCAATGGGACCGGTGGAGCTCCCTAGGCCACGGAAAGTGTGAGGGGTGCGCCGAAACGGGCGTGACGCCCACATGCGATCTGCACCACTGGGACATTCGGCGGAGCTCCCTAATGGCCTATGGGGCCACGAAAAGCGTAAGGGGTGTGCCGAAACGGGCGCGACGCCCACATGCGAACTGCACCACTGGGGCCTTCGGTGGGAACTCCATATGGGGGCCACGAAACCTGTCAGGAGTGTGCTGAAACGGGCGCGGCGCCCACATGCGAACTGCAGCAATGGGACCTTTGGCGGAGCTCCCTACGGGGCCACGAAACGTGTGAGGGGTGTACCGAAACGGGCATGACGCCCACATTCGAACTGCCTCGCGGAGACCTTCGGTGGAGCTTCCTATTGGGCCACGAAGCGCGTGAGATGTGTGCCGAAACTTGCGTGACGCCCACATGAGAACTGCACCAATGAGACCTTCGGCGGAGTTCCCTATTCGGCCACGAAGCGTGTTAGGTGTGTGTGTGTGTGTGTGTGTGCCGAAACGGGCGTGACGCCCACATGCGAACCGCACCACTGGGACCTTTGAAGAGCTCCCTACAGGGCCACAAAACGTGTGAGCGGTGTGCCGAAACGGGCGTGACGCCCACATTCGAACTGCACCACAGATCTTCGGTGGAGCTCCGTATGGGGCCACGAAACCTGCGAGGGGTGTGCCGAAACAGAGACGATGCAGGGTTGGGAGGAGGGAGGATGGGGAGGAGGAGGAGGAGGAGGAGGAGGAGGAGGAGGAGGAGGAGGAGGATGAGGAGGAGGAGGAGGAGGAGGTGGAGTGAAGGAGCGCGGGGCGCTGTCTCTTCAGAACGAGGACCCAACACCACAGGATGGTTGGGGAAAATTGGAGCAGCGGGATTTGGGCAGTTTTGGACCTCCGGGGGCCCTCGCCGGGCCTCGGGAGCGAAACAAACATGAGTCGGGACGAGAAGCCGGCCCCGGGAAGTGGTCTGGACCTCCCGTGGCCCGGCCAGGACGCCTAGATCTTGGCGCCCAAAGCCTCCCGCTGCGCTCTGTTCCCCCCCCCCCGATGCGAGCACGTCCGGGGGAGAGCTCGCGAGCGGAAGCGGAGGCCCCTCCGCTCGCCGCCGGGGAGCGCTGCTCGAGGTGGCGCCGTGGCAGGCGCTGGCGGGGCCCTCGGGGCGGGTGCCGCGGCCTCAGCGCCTGCGGCGAGCACGCGGTCGGCGAGGTGGCTCGGCCAGGCTGCCGGCGCCGTCGCTGAGCAGGCCCATGCTGAAGTCGGGCACGTCCCTCTACAGGAGGAGTATGGAGAAAGATTCCAGACATGCTATGGGGACGATGTTCGACTAGTCTTGATGGTTTTGTGGCTATTCTTCAACTTTCGCACGACATGCGTCTGTAGAAGGACATGCCCGATCTAAGCCTGTGCGCCATGTCGCCGAACCCCAGAAGATGAAATGCTCGAGGGGGAAGATGGGCATGAGTAGCCGCACCCTGGCGAGCCTGGGGTCCAGGCGGGAAGATCAGTTTGTTCCAGGAGAGACCGATGTTAGGATGTCTGCATCGCGCTTCGCCTGAGACATCCTCACAATCAGAGCTGCGATAGGAACTTATCGGAGGGGATAGTCAAGTTCGGCAGCCCCGCCTGCTGTGGCAGTCGAGCCACACTCCATCCCGTGGATCAAGAGATACAGGGGTTGCGGGGGACGGGAATGCTTTGTTATCGGAGGGGGTGCGGTTTATACGCCTTCGGATGTCCTCGCGGATTTGCTGGATCGGCGCCGGGCCCTTCTGGAAATCCTCGCGGCCTCCGAAAGTTTCTCCTCCTCCTCCTCTAAACGTGTGCGGCTTCTGGTTTTGTATGTTGCCTTTTCCGCTGCCCGTCGTGCTGCCCTGCGTGTAGTTGTTGCCGGTCTGTCTCCCGCTTCCCCCGGGAGCCTGTTGCGAGGCTCCTTGAGGGCTCTCCTTGCAGGCCTCGGGGGCGGCTTCGTGGGAGCTTTCTTTCAGGGCTCCGAGTTCCCCCTCCTGGGCCTCTGTTGGGTCCATCTTGGGGCCCTCTTGGGGGCCTCTTGGGTCTTGTGGCCCTCTTGGGCTGCTCCTGGGCCATGAGGAGGAGGAGGAGGAGGAGGAGGAGGAGGAGGAGGAGGAGGAGGAGGAGGAGAAGGAGGAGGGGGAATTTCAGATCCGCTTCATCTTGGCTACCCCGCGAAGGTGACCACGCGTCGGAGCGCTCCTTCTTCAATCGGGCGTTGGGCGTCGCGTTATGGGGGGGCGAGCACTGTCGGTGCCGAGCAAGGAGGGAAAGTGAGAAGGAGAAGACCTTCTGAGAAGGAGGTGGCCTTCTCAGAAGCCCTCGCGCCTTCTGAGACGTTTTCCTTGTCTTCGAGGAAGGCTTAGGAAACTTCTCAGAGGGCGGGGGGACTTCCGAGCCTTCCGAGGCGGCCCGCCCCTTCTCACTCCCCCACGGGGAGTGCCGCCAAAAAAAAGGGGGGGCAGCGAGGGCTGCAGGACAGGGCCTCCTTCGGGCCCCGCAAAGAGTGTGGCCCTGTGGGGGCCAGAAGGGTGCCTTTGGAGCCCGACGGGCGTACTTTCTCTCCCCCACCCCAAGGGCGGACGCGGGGGGAATCACTCTTTCGTGAGCGGCGAGGCGGCGAAACCCGCAGCAGCGTAACAGCTAGGTAGGGGCACAGACTGACGAATTGGCCGGCGTGCAAAGAGGGGATACGGTGGGGAGGCGGAGGCGGAGGAGGAGGAGGAGGAGGAGGAGGAGGAGGAGGAGGAGGAGGATGGAGGAGGAGGAGAGGAGGAGGAGGAGGAGGAGGAGGAGGAGGAGGGGGAGGGGAGAGGGAGGGAAGGAGGAGGCGGAGGAGGAGGAGGAGGAGGAGGAGGAGGAGGAGGAGGAGGAGGCCGACGCGTGGGGAAATATACGGTGGGTGCAGAGAGGCGCGCCCTGCCAGCACCTTGGGACGCGTCGTGGCAGGTTCGGGCCCTCTTTCGGGCCGCCTCCGTGTAGCCCTCGCCTGCCCCTCCGTGTGGAGCCTCCGCCCGCCCCTCCTCTTCCCAGTCCACCAGGGCGGCAGCGCGTAGGGCGTCGAGGTGAGAGTGCGTCGCGCCTCGCGGGGGGGGGGGGGGTGCGCGAGATGGTCGAGTGGTCGCACTGTCGTGATCATCCGAGTGGTCGGCCAGAACTCGTCCCTGCCACGAGCGCGGCAATCGGCCGTGTGGTCGGAGGCGTGCTCTGAGCGCGTGGTCGGGTGCGCAGGCTAGGGGAACGAACAATGGCATAAACATAGTAACTCGGAGGTCCGGGCGGAATGTCTCTGATCGGCACTGGGGCCCCCTGGCGGCGCCTCCGGCGCCGCCCCTGGCGCGCTGCTCGCGCCAGGGAGGGGGGTCCAGCGCGGAGCCAAGAAGTCCGCGCGGACCTCCGAGTTTTGATGCTTATGCTATTTTTCCCTCCCCGTACAGACATCCGACGTCGTGATCTGCTGTCGCAGCGTGGCTCCCCAGAGGTCTGGGCCTTTTCCCGGGGACATGCTCTTCAGCCCGAGGCGTTCCCGGCGGCCCCGTGGCCCGGAGAGGGCCGCTGGAGGCCGACGAGTGTCCAGGATAGTCCGCCGTGATTCTTGTTCAAGTCGCGGGGAAGTCAGGGTGTGCCCACAGACATGCGACGCCCTGATTTTTTCAGGACGGCGTCCCTGGAAGTCCCGGCCCTCTCCCCGGGACCGGTTCTTCGTCCCGAGTCGTTTTTTGACGGTCCTGAGGCCCAGCGAGGGCCCCCCGGGGCCGAAAATAGCCAAACACCTCCCGTTCCGATTTTTTTTGTTCGACGCGATCATGTCTGGGCCCTCATCCCTTGATCGGGCAGCGTGATCGACCCCAGCGATCGGCCAGCCACTACGGTCGCGCTCCACCTGCTGGTACGTGCGGGGCGGGTGCCGGTGCGACTACACCTACGGGGCGGAGCGCGTGGGCATGCCCAAGGCCGCGGAGGCCCGCTTCGCGCCCGTCATGGAGGATTCGTATTTCTTCCCCTCCTCCTCCTCCTTCCTCCTCCTCCTCCTCCTCCTCCCTTCTTCTCCCCCCTCCTCCAGCGCCCACCTCCCTCCCTACCATCTCATGCTGCCTCCTCCTCCTCCTGCCTCCTCTCTCCTGCCTCCCTTGCCTCCTCGTGCTCTCATCCCTTCCGCTCCCGTCCTGCTCCTCCTTCCCGTCCTCCTCCCTTCCTCCTCCCCGTCGTCCTGTTCCTCCTGCTCCCCGTCCGCCTCTCCTCCCCTTCGCCTTCCTCCTCCTCCTCCTTCTCCTCCTCCTCCTCGTCCTGTCCCTCCTCCTGCTCCTCCTCCTCCTCCTCCGCCCTCCTCCTCCTCCTCCTCCCCTCCTCCTCCTCCTCCTCCTCCTCCTCCCTCCTCCTCCTTCCTCCTCCTCCTCCTCCTCCTCTTCTTCTCCCCCCTCCTCCAGCGCCCACCTCCCTCCCTACCATCTCATGCTGCCTCCTCCTCCTCCTGCCTCCTCTCTCCTGCCTCCCTTGCCTCCTCGTGCTCTCATCCCTTCCGCTCCCGTCCTGCTCCTCCTTCCCGTCCTCCTCCCTTCCTCCTCCCCGTCGTCCTGCTCCTCCTGCTCCCCGTCCGCCTCTCCTCCCCTTCGCCTTCCTCCTCCTCCTCCTCCTCCTCCTCCTCGTCCTCCTCCTCCTCCTCCTCTCCTCCTCCCCTCCTCCTCCTCCTCGTCCTTGTCCTCCTCCTCCTCCTCCTCCTCCTCCTCCTCCTCATCCTCCTCCTCTCTTTTTCCTCCTCCTCCTCCTCCTCCTGCTCCTCCTCCTGCTCCTCCTCCTCCTCCTCCTCCTCCTTCTTCTCCCCTCGAGCAGCCCGCGCGCGTGCCTTGAGGAGCTCACCGAGCGCGTGTTCGCACTCGTGTGCCCGGCCTGGCCGCGGGAGAGCTGGCCCAACTGCGCCAACCTGAACCTGTACCGGCGACTGCAAGAGGTATGGTGACGCCGGGGTGTGGTTTGCGATCGGCACTGTTGGGGCCTGGGGGGCACGACACGGTGTTCTCGTCGGGCCTCCTCGGGGCGCGGGAGAACTCAATCGAGATCCCCGCGCGTCCCCCAGGGTGCCCCCACAGGATGTTCCCCAGGGTGCTGGTTGTGAACCACACCCTCTGCAAACCACACCCTCTGGAGTCGCCGACCTGTACGTCGGCGAGGAGCAGGCGCCGCAGAGGGCACCCACGCCCGAACACCGCCCTGCATGGCCAGGGGCCAGGGCCATCCCGGGTCCCGGCACGGTGTCTGAGACAGCACGCCACGGAAGCTTCCGGTGGCCTTGCACAGGATGTGTGGCGACCAGTTTCTCCCAATAGCGTTCCAAGGCGCCGAGAAACGCCCCCTGGTGCTCAACCAGCGTCCAGCAGCGCCTGACAGCGCCGTGTGAGGGAGGTGTACGGTCGGACCGGCGGATAATATCGAGGTCGGTTCGGCGAGGGTAGCCCCTGGCCGGGCATGCCCTGCGGAACCCGTCGCTATGTGCAGGCCTGCGGATGGCACGCGGACGACGAGGCCCTCTTCGCCGGGAGGGGGGATGACTGTCTTATCTCGGGCGGGTGGTAATGGTCGGCTAGAGGTAACTATGACAGGGGTTTGGATTGACCCGGATCAGTGGATCCCCAACGGTAACGGCATTCTTGAAGTAGGAAGGGGTGTGACATAAAGGAGTGTGCAGCCTCATCTCGGGTGGATTGTGATGGTCGACCAGACGCAAGAGTGACCCTTCGCCGGAGTGACCTTTGGTGCGGGCCCATTGGGATCCCCCCGATCGCTGAGTGCGATGCGATAGCAGCGGCCTGCGCGCGTGTGGTCGGTGCCTCCGCGGCCCCAGGAAGTCGCGCAACAAGCGTCACTCTTGCCTAGCGTCACTCTCGCGTGTAGTCGATTGTAATGGGTCTGGAGGTAGGAGAGGGGTGTGGCATAAACTTGGCATCGCTCGGGCGTGTGCGTTTTCTCCTCGGCGAGGACCATCTCGAGGAGCTGCGAAAAATGCACGCGCGAAGCCGAACAATGCGCGGGGCATGACCGTCCGAGCGATGGCAAGTAAAGGGTGGTGGTGCCAATACTGAATCATGCGATGCGACCTATCGTAGATCTCATTTTCATTCCCACGATTGGCATCACACCCCTTCCTGCCACACCTCTCTCCTACCTCCAAAATGCGGGGTGACCCAAATTGGATCTGAAGCAAAGGGCCCTACAAGGGCCCTTTGGGGCCTCTTTCGGTTCGCTGCTAGGGGTACCCTGAAGGGCCCCTGTAGGGCTGTTTTCTTCACCACCCATGCGGCTCACCCCCCATTACCGCTCGCCCGATCATCGTCTCCCTGTCGCTCGGGTCGCCGCGCGAGTTCTGGCTCAGCCTGCGCCAGGACGCGGACGCGGGCGCCAGGCCAGACAAGGGCAGCGTGCTCGAGGTGGTTCTAAGCCCGAGCAGTGGGGGTAGCACGGCTGGCGGGGCCGAAGTAGGTGGAGTTGTATTTGCGGTAGTTGTTGCACAGCTGCAGCAGTTTGCGGTCTGGATGCAGTAGTTGCGCGTTTATGCAGTCATGTGTCCTTTCAATCGCATGAGTTCACGCCTCTTGCAATAGTTTGTGCCCCCAGCAATATTTCGCGCAAGAGTTTTGGTAATAGTTCGTGCAGGCGAACTATCTGTAATTAATATTAATACGAATACTAATACTATGTGTGCGTGCCCCCCCCCCCAGGGGCGACGCGCGCACCGAGAAATCTTATAGTATATCGTATATGCATCGTGGCGGGCGCTTTCTGACCGTACCGCTCGGGAAACGGTATACTACATGATGGGTATATTATATGTCCGGGTCGGACGCGCGCCTCCGAGGAGGACGTATAGTATTAGTATGTCTTTGTGCGTCCCAAACTATTGCACCTCCCACCGCCCCTCATCAGCGTTGCCCCCATTGCTCCATCGTGAAGGGGTGTTCGCCCCAGATAAGGGCCTCGCCCCGTCCCCCCTCCCTCCTCTCTTCTTCTACAGGTTCTGGTAGGCACCGAGCTTCCTCAGAATGCCTGCTCACGTCAGTATCATTTGGCCGACCCCCATCCCCATCCCCACCCCCTTCGAGACACTCGTCAAATTATCCCCCCAGTTGGGGATACACTCCTCGAAGCCCAAAGGGAACGGGCTATATCCCCGTCCAGGGGGGGTAAATCGGCCACTGGGGCCCAGGCCAAGCCGCTGGGGAGAGGGATCGGCTAAACGGTGCTCATCATGGTGCGCCTTAAGTCGCTTGGCTGTCGCCGAGGATCAGGGGAGCCCTGGGCCCCTGGGTCGCCTTTGAGGGCCCCGCCGCTGCGCTCGACACCGTGGCGAGGAACACCGCAGAGGCCTCTCCCTCCAGTCGGGGGAAAACAAGCCTACCTCGCTTTTGACCACCCTCGCTCCCAAGAAATACCAAACGATGCCAAATTGCAGCCTGTACTGGTCAGGCCCCTCGACGAGGAGGCGCGTGGTATGGCTTGGCTTTGCCTGGACGCGAAAGGGGTTCCCCCCCCCCCCCGTCCCGCCCCTGCGTGCACGCTTGCTGCCCCGGCCGCTCCCCCCTCCCCCGTCCTCCCGGTCCGCGTCTGCTCGGTGCGCTCTTCCCCGTCCCTCCCCTCCCCTCCCCATCCTTTCCTGCCGGTCGGGAGGTCCAGCCCGTGGGCGGCCGAAGTGCGGTCGGCGGGCGTGGGCTTCCTCTGCGACGACGACGACGACGACGACGACGCGGGGAGGCACTTCACGCTCTCCCTCCAGGGGTCCACAGGGAGGCCGACCCCTCTCCGGCGGAGTGCCGGCGAGGGCGGGCCGGAGGAGGCGCGGCGCCGCAGGGGTGGAGGCCGGCGGACAGGCCGGCGGAGGCGAGCACACAGTGCTCCCCGAGAGAGGCACGGTCTGGACGCAGGATTGCAAAAAAACGAAGGATTGCAAAAAGGATTGCAAACAAAAACCAGGATTGCAAAAAGGATTGCAAAAAAACCCTGGATTGCAAAAAGGATTGCAAAAAGGATTGCAAAAAGGATTGCAAAAAGGATTGCAAGCAGGTTTTTTTGCAATCCAGGATTGCAAAAAGGGTTTTTTTGTGCAATCCTTTGTTTTTTTTGCAATCCTTCGTTGAAATGGGTACCGAAAGAATGGGTACAATGCCCAACAACAATTCCTGTCCATTTTGAACAGGGCCCGCCGTCGGCGCCGCCGCGGCCTGTGTACATTTGAGACAGTGGGCCGCCTGCCCAACAGCGGCCGCTGTTGGTGTGGGGCAACAGTTGCTGTTGGGCATGGTGCCCATTCTTTCGGTACCCATTTCGGGCGTCCAAGGCATGGCAGCTCTTTGGCGATCGCTTTCTTGTTCCTTGTTCTGCCGATCGGCGGGGGCCCTCGCGCCCCTGCCCCCCATCCCCCCCTCTCAAATGGAGCAGAGCTTGGCTGTGTTTGGCGCCTGCTTCGAGCAGGCGGAGCCTCCCCCACAGGGCGCACTGCTGCAAGCAGCCGCGTCAAGCAGAGGTCCAGAGCCAGACCCCCCCCCTCCCCCCTCTCTTCCGCCCAATGTCGAAGCGCCGACCAAGAAAACGCTCACTTGGGATTGAGCGCGTCCGCATCGGACCAGGTGGGCGGCCTACACAGCACAGACATGGCGGCCACATGCGAATCCTATCCCTGGCCCCCACGATTTCTGAGGGGGAGGGGTAGGGTTCGCATGTGGCCCCCCAACTTGTGAGCGCGCCGCTCGCGCAGGCTCAGGCTTTAGCGCAGGCGCCCTCCGCTCCACGCGGCCGGACGCGCCAGCAGCCTGCCCCCTCCCTCCTCCCCAGGTCCCCAGCGTCATGTTTTTTTTTCGTGACGCGACCCCCGGATCGGCGGCGAGCGAGGGGGGGAAATGAGAAGGAAAAGGCCTGCTAAACCATACAATATATACACATACATATAATAATACAAACAACAAAAAAAAGAGGAGAAGGCCTGCTCAGAAGGCGGTGGGACTTCTCAGAAGCTCTCGCGCCTTCTGAGAAGCTTTTTCTTGTTTTCGGGGAAGGCTTGCACAACTTCTCAGAAGGCCAGGGGACTTCCGAGCCTTCTGAGGAGGCCTTCTCCTTCTCGCCTCCCCCTCTCACCTACCGCCGACCAGAGGTCCGGACCCCTTTCCCGAGACCAGTTTTCCATCCTGAGTCGTTTCTTGACGCTCCCGAGGCGCATGGCAAGGACACCCAGAGGCCGAAGATAGCGACAAGCCTTCCGTCGTGTTTTTTATGACGCGAGGGGGTCTGGGTCCTCCTCGCCCACCCAGACCATGCGACGTCCCGACTTTTGTCAGGGCGGCGCCCCTGGAAGTCCCGACCCCTTTCCCCGAGACCGGTGTTTCGTCCCGAGTTGTTTTTGCTCTTGACGGCCCCGAGGCCCAGCAGGGGCACCCCGAGGCCGAAGGTAGCGACACACCTCCCGTCGTGGGTTTTTCCTGGCCCGAGGGGGCGTCCGGGCCCTCCTCGCCCAGGTGGACCTGGGCGACGGCGACCTGCTGACGATGGAGGGCCTGTGCCAGAAGCACTGCGTCCACTGCGTGCCGCCGGGCGCCGCGGCGGCCACCGCCGGCGGGGGCGCGGGACGGCCGAGCCCCGGTGGACCGGCGGAGGGGGCGCGCATCAACGTGACGTGGCGCTGGGTCCGCGACCACAAGCGCGGAGGGTGTCTCCGAAGGGCTTTGGCGACCCGTCCTCCTCCTCTCTCCTCCTCCCTCCTCCTCCTCCTCCTCCTCCTCCTCCTTCTCCTCCTCCTCCTCCTCCTCCTCCTCCTCCTCCTCCTCCTCCTCGCCCTCCCCTCCTCGAGTCGCCTGCGGCCCCGGGGGAAACCGTCCACACAAGCGGCGGTGCCCGCTGTGGGGCCTGCCGCGCTCGCCGGCGCCCGCGTCCCCGCAGGCGCTCGGCGGCCGCGTGCCGCCCACGGCGTCCGGGGCGGACGAGGCGCTGCTGTGGGCTGGGCACGCGCCCGTGGAGTGGAGGCTGATTGGTTAATTTTTCACCACCACTACCATATGTAGGACGGGGGCGAACGGAGGATGGGGAGGTCCTTCTCCGCCTCCTCCTCTCTCCTCCTCCTCCTCCTCCCCCTCCTCCTCCTCCCCCTCCTCCTCCTCCTCCTCCTCCTCCTCCTCCTCCTTCTCCTCCTCCTCCTCCTCCAACCTATCGTGGTGGCGGTGGAAAACAAGCCCACCAGAGGCGCTCCTGCCAGGGCTGCAGCGGGGGCCTAGCGCGCAACTGCGCCCTGCTCCGCGGCAGGTGGCTCTGCCGCCGCTGCTGGCAGGCGCGCCACGGGGCCCCCTCCGCAGCCTGCCGCCCTCGGCGCGGGGCTTTTCCAGTTCCAGAAACCCTGCGGCCTCAGCTGCCCTGCTGCGCCCGTGCCGAAACGCAGCACGTGCCGTGCTCAGAACGTCCGTGCCAACACGCTGCGTGCTGGCCCGGCACGTGCTGGCCCACGTCTTGGCGAGCGCATCGCGCCAGATCTGCGTGTTCAGTTTCTCTTTCTCTCTCTATACATAGACACGTACATACACATATATATATATATATATGTGTGTATAGACATACCAATGTATGTATATGTTGAGCTGTCAACACGATGCGTGTTGCGTGTTGCGTATGGGAGCAGCTAAGCCTGCGGCTGGTTTTGTTCGAGACGTGGGTCCTCCAGACCTCTCAACCCCTTCGCGGTGACCAGCTTTACGTCCTCAGTCGTTCAGTTGTGGCCCCAGCACAGGCCCAGACACGGAAAGAGCGCCCGTGGTTCACCCGCTAGTTGAAAAGGTGGGAAGATAATTCTCTATCCTCCTGTTCAAGGGCATATGTTTCTCCCTCCCTCCTGTTCCTGGGGCAGGGTTGGGGGGTGAACCCCTCCTCCCCCTCTTTGCGCTGGAGAACGGGGCGGGGACCGGCGCGAGATCGCGCCGCTGCAGAGCCCCTTCGCCCCGAAACGCTTCGTCGGGGACTGGGGGTGCGCGGCTTTCGGGGGCCGCGGGGGGGGGGGTCAGAGGGGTCAACTCTTGGCCTGGCACCACTTGTGGGCCCGCACCACGGGTCGCTCCTGCCCAGGGCCGGTTATTATGGGGGGGGATTTTTGGCCCTTCAGGACCGGTCCGCTCCCTGCGCGCAGTCTGGTGTTCCCTCCCCCATCCTTCCTCCTGCTTGTCTGAGCTGTGCGCTGGAGCTTGCGTTTTTTTCCTCGCGCCCTTCGTGGGCCCGCCCTCGTGCGAGCGGGGTGAATGAATGAATGAATGAATGAATGAATAGGACCGGTCCGCTGGCTGGTGTGCTCCACGAAGCAAACCAACTCGAGCGGATGGGTCGGATCGGGCGGGCGGGCCCCGCTGGGCAGGACGGGCGTGCGGACCCCTGCGGGCGGCACGAGCGGGCGGTACGTGGAAGTGGGCGGGCAGGCAAGCAAGCCAGCCGGCGGGCCCTGGCGGACAGGTCGGGCGCGTCCCTCTACAGGAGGAACATTCCAAAACAATAGTCAAATCATAGCCTCGGGACGATCTTTATATTCTTCTGTAAACTATTTTTGAATATTTTGGTTTGGTTTTTTTTCATTTTTCGCCCCAACTCCGCCTGTAGGAGGACATGCCCGACCGAACCCCAACTGGCAGGTCGGGCAGGCGGACCCCAACGTGCGGGTTCCCTGACGGGCGGGTCGAGCGGGCGGACCGCAACGGGCGGGTCGGGCAGGCGGGACGTTCAAGCGCGCGGGTGGGCTTTACAAACGAAAGTCGAGAGGGCGGGCTCCGACGGGCGGGTCGGGCAGGGACCCTAATCTGGCGGGCGGGTTAGTCGGGTAGGCCCTCATTGTAGGGTGGGGCGTCTGGGGGACCCTGACGGGCGGTCCGGTCGGGCCGACCCACACGGGCGGGCCGGGCGGGCGGGACATCAAAGCGGGCGGGCGGGCTTGCAAGCACACGAGCGAGCGGACCCTAACGGGCAGGTCGGGCGGGCTCACGACCAGTGACGGCGAGCGAGGACGACGACCACGAGAGGCGGCGACGAGCGGCGATGACGACCAGCGACGACCACGACAAGAGACGACGACACGCGAAGCGGTCTCGGGTGGAGCGGTCGTGGGCGAAGCAGTCCGCGCGCGGGCGAAGCGGTCTGAGGCGAAGCGGTCCGGGGTGGAGCGGTCCAGGGCGAAGTGATCGCCGGCGAACCGTTTCCACATTGTTGGACTGCCCCCTCCCCCATTATGCGCTGGAGGATTGGGAGAGGGGTCCCCCCTCCCCTATCTTCCCCTCCTCGGCGGCAGACGAGGCGGGACGCCGCGCGCTGGCGCATAGAAGGGGATATCAGGTTTGGGGCGTGAAGGTTCGGTTTAGGGTTGTAGGGGCAGGGTGGTAGTAGTGCGTGTTGGGTTCGGGGTGGGGTGTTCGGGGTGGGGTGTTCGGGGTGGGGTGCTTCGGGTTATGGTGCTTACGGTAAGGTTTCCGCTGTTGGCGTTGCGGTTAGAGTGTTAGGATGTTAGGGTCAGGGCAGGGCGGTAGCGTGTAAGGGTTAGGGTTAGTGTGCAAGTTGTTTTGTTGTTTTCGGTTAGGCTGTGAGACATTGGGTGCTTAAGGTTAGGGTTAGTGCGCTAGGGTTAGGGTTAGGCTGTAAGTGTGTTAGGGTTAGGGTGCTTCGGGCTAGAGGTTGGGTGTTTGGGTTGGTGGTGTCAGGATTGGGTTTAGGGTGTTTGGGTCAGGGTGTTAGGGGCAGGGTGTTAGGGTTGGGTTGCATAGGGTTTGGGGTTTATGGTGTTCGGGATATGGTTTAGCGGTCGGGTAGTGGGGACTGTGTTGGGGTTCGGGTGTTTATCGTAGTGTTAAGGGGATGCGGTTTTGGTGTTCGGGTCGGGCTGTAAGGGTGTTCGGGTTGGGGGGGGTGAGTGCGTGAGGGTTTGCGTTAGGCTGTTAGGGTTAGAGTGTTTAGGGATATGATTCGGGCGCCGGCGTTATACTTAGGAGTTTATGGTACCATGGTCTGGGCGCTTACGGTCAGGACAAATGGGTTGGGATTAGGGTGTTACTGTGCTAGTGCTGGTGCTACGGTGTTCGGGTTCGGCTGGCTGCTCATGTTTGGGGTAGAGTTGTTGGGGTGTTAAGGGTAACTAGGGTGTTAGTGTTCGGGCTGGGGTGGTTTCGACTCCAGTCCTTGCTAAAAGAATGGGGGGTCCTGGCTTAGCCCGAGTAAGCTTCGCCCTCTTTTGGACGAGGGGTGGAGGCGGGGGAAGGGAAGGGCGGGGATCCACACGGCGGGCCAAAAATAGGTGCGAAGGGGGGGCGGTCCTGGACGGCGAAGCGGGAAAAGCGGGGGGAGGCCCCCCCCCCCCCCCCCCCCACCTTCCCTGGTAAAACCAGCGGCGCGCCCTCCCAGAGAACGCCCCCCCCATAACATTGCAGACAGCGGTGCGCGGTCGCCCCGACCCCTTGTTGCCCCCGAGGCGGCCGCCGCCGCGGCGGCCTGGGCGGGGGCTGCGGCGGGCGCGGCGGCGGCGGCGGCGCGCGGCACGGCCGCTGCGCGGACGGCCGAGCCCGCGGAGCCTCCGCGGGCTGGGGCCGCGGAGGCCTGCGCGGCGGAGGCCGCCGTGGCCGAGGCCGCCCCGCGGCCGCCCTGTGACCCCCCCCCGCCGCCGACGCTCCCGCCCTGGGCGCCCGCCGCCACGGCCGCGGCGCCGCCGCCCGCGAGCCGCGGCGCGGGCCCCCCCCGCGCCCCTCCCTGCGGGCCTGGCGCCGGCCACGGCGGCCGCCCAGCGCCGCCGCGCGGCGCGTCGCTGGGCAGGATGCCTCCTCGTCCTCGTCGTCCTCCTCCTCCTCCTCCTCCTCCTCGTCCTCCTCCTCCTCCTCCTCCTCCTCCTCCTCCTCCTCCTTCTCCTCTTCTCCTCCGCAGGATGCTCGCCGACTTCGACGGCGCGGGCGCGGCCCGCGCCTGCCTGACAGTGGCGGAGGGCGCCGCCGTGGTGGTGCTGCCGGAGGCGCGGGCCGGGCCCTGGGCGCTCGCCGCCGAGCTCGCGGGGCCCCCGGGCTGGTTCCCCGCCGCCTTGCTCGGCCCTGACGGCGAGGCCCGCGGCGATTTCGACGGCGCGGGGCTCGGGGGCGGCTGCCTGACCGTGCCGCGGGGAGCCTCGCTGGTGCGGCTCGGGTCGGGAGGTGCGCCTGGAGCCGGGGGGCAACCAGCGTGGACAAGACTTCGAAGGAGAGTTCTTGGTGCCTTTCGGCCCTCGGGGGGCCCTCGCAGGGCCACTCGGCGCGAGAATCCCGTCCCCGGAGAGGGGTTCCTATCTCTGGGGGGCCACGCTGCTAACACAGAATCGCGACGTCGGATGATGTCTGGGGAAGGGCAGCGGCAGGTGGGGGCTGGTCCAGGGGGGGTGAGAGCTTCTTGATCCATAATCGTCCATTCCTCGCCGATCGGGGGCCTATGCCCCCAAAGCCCCGCCCTGGAACGTGAGGTATCGCCATCGGGGATGTGTCGCTGACCTCTCGGCGATGTGTCGCCGATTCCAGCTCGCTGTCTTCTCCTCCGAGCCTGTCCCCCCCCCAAAACACATCCGACGGCCTGTTTTTTTTGTTTCGATGCGCGGCCCAGGACGTCCCGATCCCTTCCCTCGGGCGAATTTTTCGCCCCGGACCCGCTTTTGAAAGCTATGCGCCCGAAGGCGGTCCTCAAAGGCCGACACCTAGGACAAACGCTCGGATGGAAGACACGTAATGACGCGAAGGCGAAGGGGCCTGCGATTGGCAAGAGGAGTACTGCCAGTACGAATGATACTACTGCCAGCAGTAGTAAGAGGGACCCCATAAGTAGTTGTCGCGGTACCGCGAATAAGGCGAAGCATGCGATGAACAAACAAAAGAGGAGACACATTCAAGATAACAGCAGTGCTCTCCTGAGGGCCAGCTTTTTTCTGCGAAGAAGGCGAAGAATGCGATGAGCAAAAAAAAGAGAGAGGAGACCCCCTCAGGATGGTAGCAGGATGGGAGGAGGAGGAGGAGGAGGTGGAGGAGGAGGAGGAGGAGGAGGAGGAAGAGGAGGAGGAGGAGGAGGAGGAGGGGGAGGAGGAGGAGGAGACCCCCTCAGGATGGCAGCAGTGCTCTCCCCAGGGCCAGCTGCTCGCCCCAGCTCCGCCTGCGAGAGAGCCCCTCTGGGGGCCCGAGAGCGGCCCCCCAGGGGGGTCGACGTCGGGGGAGGCGAGCGCCCGGATGGAGGAGGGACGGGAGAGCGAAGAGGAAGCACACACACAGAGAAACGAGGAAACGAGGAAACGAGAAAACGAGGAAACGAGAAACGAGGAAACGAGAAACGAGAAACGAGAAACGAGGGAACGAGGAAACGAGGAAACGAGAAACGAGGAAACGAGAACACGGGAAGCAGCCGGAAGGGCACAGAGAGACGAGGAAACGAGAAACGAGAAAGCGAGCGCCCGGATGGAGGAAGAGCGAGGAAACGAAGAAGAAGAAGAAGAAGAAGAAGAAGCACACAACAGTAAGGACAGAGAGAAACGAGGGAACGAGAAACGAGAAAACGAGCGCCTGGATGGAAGAAGAGCGAGAAAACGAGGAAGAAACACGAAGAGAAAAACATTGCACGACCACTGCTACCGAGGAGAGGAGGAGGAAGACGAGTCGCAACGCCAGGGGCTCGACCTAAGCAGTGCTTGTGTGCGCTTTCGTGGGCCGTTTTCGTTTCGGTCTCGTTTTGACGCCACGGCGGGGCGGCGACAGAACGAGGGAAAGCGAACACAGCACGAAGACAGAAAACACGGTTTAGGTCCAGCCCTGCGCAATACCAGCAACGCGTACGGTGACAGTACGAATGGCCATGCGCGTGGCAAACAGCCACGAGAAGACGCCACGCCGCCGGAGGGTCCGGGCCTGCCCCCCTCCCCCCCAGGGAGAGATGGCCAGACGGGGCCAAAAAAAATGATCCTGGCGACGGACCCAACCATATGCAATTGTGAATACTGCAATTGTGAATATTTTCTCGGTGGGGCCCCCTACGGGGCCACGAAACGTACGAGGGGTGTGCCGAAATGGGTGTGCGGGACGCATGCGGGCACACCCACTGGGGCCTTCGGTGGAGCTCTCTATGGGGCCAAGAAACGTGTGAGGGGTGTGCCGAAATGGGTGTGCGGGACGCATGCGGGCACACCCACTGGGACCTTCGGCGGAGCTCCCTATGGGGCCACGGAACGCGTGAGGGGCGTGCCGAAATGGGTGTGGCTGACGCATGCGGGCGCGGGCACTGGGGCCTTCGGTGGAGCTCCCTATGGGGCCACGAAACGTGTGAGGGGTGTGCCGAAATGGGTGTGGGTGACGCATGCGGGCGCGGGCGCTGGGGCCTTCGGCGGAGCTCCCTATGGGGCCACGAAACGTGTGAGGGGTGTGCCGAAATGGGTGTGGCTGCGCATGCGGGCGCGGGCAGTGGGGCCTTCGGTGGAGCTCCCTATGGAGCCACGAAACGTGTGAGGGGTGTGCCGAAATGGGTGTGGCTGACGCATGCGGGCGCGGGCACTGGGGCCTTCGGTGGAGCTCCCTATGGAGCCACGAAACGTGTGAGGGGTGTGCCGAAATGGGTGTGGGTGACGCATGCTGGGCAGTGTGAGGCCTGGGTCGGTGGACTGGGGCCTTCCTCCCTATGGGCCACGAAACGTGTGAGGGGTGTGCCGAAATGGGTGTGGGGGACGCATGCGGGCGCGGGCACTGGGGCCTTCGGTGGAGCTCCCTATGGAGCCACGAAGCGTGTGAGGGGTGTGCCGAAATGGGTGTGGGTGACGCATGCGGGCGCGGGCACTGGGGCCTTCGGTGGAGCTCCCTATGGAGCCACGAAACGTGTGAGGGGTGTGCCGAAATGGGTGTGGGTGACGCATGCGGGCGCGGGCACTGGGGCCTTCGGTGGAGCTCCCTATGGAGCCACGAAACGTGTGAGGGGTGTGCCGAAATGGGTGTGGGTGACGCATGCGGGCGCGGGCACTGGGGCCTTCGGTGGAGCTCCCTATGGAGCCACGAAACGTGTGAGGGGTGTGCCGAAATGGGTGTGGGTGACGCATGCGGGCGCGGGCACTGGGGCCTTCGGTGGAGCTCCCTATGGAGCCACGAAGCGTGTGAGGGGTGTGCCGAAATGGGTGTGGGTGACGCATGCGGGCGCGGGCACTGGGGCCTTCGGTGGAGCTCCCTATGGAGCCACGAAACGTGTGAGGGGTGTGCCGAAATGGGTGTGGGTGACGCATGCGGGCGCGGGCACTGGGGCCTTCGGTGGAGCTCCCTATGGAGCCACGAAACGTGTGAGGGGTGTGCCGAAATGGGTGTGGGTGACGCATGCGGCCGCGGGCACTGGGGCCTTCGGTGGAGCTCCCTATGGAGCCACGAAACGTGTGAGGGGTGTGCCGAAATGGGTGTGGGTGACGCATGCGGGCGCGGGCACTGGGCCTTCGGTGGAGCTCCCTATGGAGCCACGAAACGTGTGAGGGGTGTGCCGAATTGGGTGTGGGTGACGCATGCGGGCGCGGGTACTGGGGCCTTCGGTGGAGCTCCTATGGGGCTACGAAACGCTGTACTGGGTGGGTGAAACGCAGGGAAGAGGGGGAGGAGGGAGGAGGAGGGGGAGGAGGAGGAGAAGAGAGGAGAGGAGAGGAGGCGGAGGAGGAGAGGAGGAAGGAGACGCGGGGCACCGTCTCTTCAAAACGAGGACCCAACACCACAGGATGGTTGGGGAAAAACAAAAAATCCGGGCGAAGGGCCCAACCATATGCAATTGTGAATATTGCAATTGTGAATATCTTCTCGGTGGAGCCCCTTACGGGGCCACGAAACGTACGAGGGGTGTGCCGAAATGGGTGTGCGGGACGCATGCGGGCACACCCACTGGGGCCTTCGGTGGAGCTCTCTATGGGGCCAAGAAACGTGTGAGGGGTGTGCCGAAATGGGTGTGCGGGACGCATGCGGGCACACCCACTGGGACCTTCGGCGGAGCTCCCTATGGGGCCACGGAACGCGTGAGGGGCGTGCCGAAATGGGTGTGGCTGACGCATGCGGGCGCGGGCACTGGGGCCTTCGGCGGAGCTCCCTATGGGCCACGAAACGTGTGAGGGGTGTGCCGAAATGGGTGTGGCTGACGCATGCGGGCGCGGGCACTGGGCCTTCGGTGGCTCCCTATGGGCCACGAAACCCGAATGGGTACCATGCGGCGCAGCTCCCTATGGAGCCACGAAACGTGTGAGGGGTGTGCCGAAATGGGTGTGGTGTGACTGCAGCTCCCTATGTGTGAGCCGAAATGGGTGTGGGTGACGCGGCACTGGGGCCTTCGGTGGAGCTCCCTATGGGGCCACGAAACGTGTGAGGGGTGTGCCGAAATGGACGCATGCTGGGGCCTTCGAAGCTCCCTATGGGGCCACGAAACGTGTGAGGGGTGTGCCGAATTGGGTGTGGTGACGCATGCGGGCGGGCACTGGGGCCTTCGGCGGAGCTCCCTATGGAGCCACGAAGCGTGTGAGGGGTGTGCCGAATTGGGTGTGGGTGACGCATGCGGGCGGGCACTGGGGCCTTCGGTGGAGCTCCCTATGGAGCCACGAAACGTGTGAGGGGTGTGCCGAAATGGGTGTGGGGACGCATGCGGGCGCGGGCACTACTTCGGTGGAGCTCCCTATGGAGCCACGAAACGTGTGAGGGGTGTGCCGAAATGGGTGTGGGGGACGCATGCGGCGCGGGCACTGGGGCCTTCGGTGGAGCTCCCTATGGAGCCACGAAACGTGTGAGGGGTGTGCCGAAATGGGTGTGGGGACGCATGCGGCGCGGGCACTGGGGCCTTCGGTGGAGCTCCCTATGGAGCCACGAAACGTGTGAGGGGTGTGCCGAAATGGGTGTGGGTGACGCATGCGGGCGCGGGCACTGGGGCCTTCGGTGGAGCTCCCTATGGAGCCTCGAAGCGTGTGAGGGGTGTGCCGAAATGGGTGTGGGTGACGCATGCGGGCGCGGGCACTGGGGCCTTCGGTGGAGCTCCCTACTATGGAGCCACGAAGCGTGTGAGGGGTGTGCCGAAATGGGTGTGCGTGACGCATGCGGGCGCGGGCACTGGGGCCTTCGGTGGAGCTCCTATGGAGCCACGAAGCGTGTGAGGGGTGTGCCGAATTGGGTGTGGGTGACGCATGCGGGCGCGGGTACTGGGGCCTTCGGCGGAGCTCCTATGGGGCTACGAAGCGCTGTACTGGGTGGGTGAAACGCAGGGAAGGATGATGATGGCAGGAGGGAGGGGGCAGCGGGAGGAGGAGGGGTTGAACGCGGGGCACCGTCTCTTCAAAACGAGGACCCAACACCACAGGATGGTTGGGAAAAAAAGAAAACGAGGACAAGCCGTCACAGAGCGTTCCGGAACGCTCTCGGAGCGTTCCTGTTGGGCGTCGCGTCATGATGGGGCGATACATGGGGGGGCAGCGAGGGTGTAGAAAAAGGGCCCTTTAGGGCCCCTGAGGGGCCCTCGAGGGCCAGGGCCCGAAAAATGCTTTTGTGTCCCCCCCTACATTTATCACCCCCGAGTGGGCGACGCCCGATCCGGGACGCTCCGAGAAGGCCGCGGCGCCCCATCCTCCAGACCCGCCAGGTCTCAGGGATTCTCGATGTGGAGCGTTCCAGCAATGGCCTTGCCTCCGAGGATCGAAGGAGTTACCATCTCTTCCGCGGCGGAAGGCGGCGGCAGTTCGGCGGTCGGCGGCGGAAGTGAAGCGAGGGCGGCTCCGCCGGCGGAAGCCGGCGGAAGGCCGGCGGAAACCTGCGGAAGCAACAAAATGCGCCCCCGAGAGATGACAACATTTTTGGGTTCAGGGTCTCTGGAACCCGCCATGCAGGGCCGCCTAGTCGATGCGATGCGATTCGACTCGCCAGCTGGGGCCGCGATTCCGATTCGGCTCGATCCGTTCCGTTCCACCAGCACCAGCAGGTGCCAGCCGGAACCTGGCGCGGCGATCCGATTTCGATCTGACTCGGGACGATTCGCCGGCGATTCGACCCGTTTCCGATTCGATTCGATTTTTTGATTTCTCGGGTTGGCCCAAAAGGGGGTCCAGCGACAAGGGGATGGTGCAATAGATTTGGTGCAATAGATGCAATACATTTGGGGCGTGCAATACATTCCGGGGCGTACATGTATTGCTGGGCTTTCGCGTGCAATGCGTTACTTGCAATACAATGCAGTACCATTCTCTGGCGCAACACATTTGCAATACAATTGCCCCACATCTATTGCACCACCCCCTTTCAGCTGGACCCCCATTTGGGCCACTCAAAGATTCGACCCATCACATCCCAGACCCCCGACGTCATGATTTTTTCATGACGCGACCCCCAGAGGTCTGGACCCATTCCCCGGGACCAGTGTTTCACTCAGAATCGTTGTTTTTGACTGCCCCCAGGCCCGGTAAGGGCCCCCAGAGGGCGAGAATGGCGAAAAACCTCCCGCCGTGATCGTTTCATGACCCGACGGGGTCTGGGCTGCCTGCCATTGCGTCCTCGTCCGATGCTGTGCTCGTCCCGGCTTCCTCCCAGAGGCGGCGAGCGCCACGGGCCCGCGGCGGCCGGCTGGGCCTTCGGGGCGCTGCTGGGCGGGCCGCCCGGGTGGGTGCCCAGCGCCCTCGTTGGCCCGCACGCCCCCCAGAAGCAAGAGACAAACAAAACACATCGCCCAGGCTCTCGGGGCGTCCCGACGCCTCCTCCTCCTCCTCCTCCTCCTCCTCCTCCTCCTCCTCCTCCTTTGCTCCCCCCCCTCCTCCTCCTCCTCCTCCTCCTCCTCCTCCTCCTCCTCCTCGTCCTCCTCCTCCTCGAGGGCCCACAGGGACTCGCTCCTGGCAGGGCGCAGGTGTTGCAGGCCACACGCCCACCCCAAGACGCACCGTTCTCCATTGCCATCGTGAGCGTGCACAACTGCGAGCGGCCCGCGGACCGCCTGCACGCTGCCTGCGGACGCTGGTGAGGCCTGCCAGCGTGGTGTCGCGCCGCTCCACTTCAGCGGACGTTCGTGGCGCTTGGCGACTTCAACCTGTCCCCCCAGACCCCCTCGCGTCAGGAAAAAATCACGACGGGAGGTTTTTGTCAGTATTCTCGCCCTCTGGGGGCCCTTACTGGGCCTCGGGACCGTGAAAAAACGATTCAGAATGAAAAACCGGTCCCGGGGAATGGGTCCAGACCTCTGGGGGTCGCGTCATGAAAAAGTCATGAAGTCGGGGGTCTGGGCTCTGGGCCGCCTGTCAGCCACCCGAACCCCGAGCCCTCGACTGCACGTCTCGCCGTGGACGCATGTGTGCAGCCACAGGCCAGCTTTTGGCGCCCGCCGATGCTGGCTGCGACGGAGGTCACCACAGATCTCCCGACGCACTTCTGCCGACAGCACTGCACAGCTGAAGCGCTGGACCAGGTGTTCTCAGGAACGCCACCGGAATTTATGCTCAAGGGTGATGCCGCTATGGAGGTACATGTGGGCCCATGCCACATGTCTGATACCCGTTTGAGCGATCACGCGTTGCTTTCCCTCTCCTTCCAAAACCGCGGCATGGGTACAACACCTGAGCGTCGGATCCCCGATTCTACTTTCCTTGACCCTCGCTATCGCGAGAAACTTGCCGCCCTACTTGCTGCCGCCGATATCGGCCATCTTCCAGACGTGCTCCGTTGGCAGTGCGCTGAGGGGTTCATGTGGGAAACCGCCCGGGAGACCCGCAATAAGCTCCAAGGCCTCCCACTGACCTCCCGAGACCCTAATGCGCTGGAAGCTCGCTGACTGCGAGCCATTTCCAGAGCCATTTAGAGGCAAGACCTCGAGACAGGGGCCGCTTTGAAAGCCACGACTGCTCTGGGCGCCCGGTTCCTCCACCTCTCCCCCCTCGCAACTCTCCCTCCTTGAACCGGCAGCCTTCGGAGCACTTGTCAGAGACACGGGTGCTGCTGCCCTGTTGCGCCGCTAATCTCGCGCCGCCACGCTAGCCCAGCAGGCGTCTATGTTTAAGCCGGGCCTGTCCCTCTACAGGAGGAAAATCCAACAATAGTCAACAAAATAGCAGGGGGACTTTTCAACATTTATGTTTTACCATTTGGGAGTATTCTTGTGACTATTTCTATTTGTCATGCCCGACCAAATGCTACGCGGCGTCCGTCCTGAGATGCTCGCAGGCGATTAAGGTAGCAGTCCTGTCGCCCGCTCGGGCGAAGATGTCCGCGCTGTGCTGTCGTCTCACTGGGAATGTCACCACCCACCAAACCACCCCAACCCAACCCGAAGGCCCGAATATACCATCGATTTCCAGTGTGTACCCCCCTCCGACCCGCCTTTCGGGTCTTCGGGTTGGGTTGGGGTGGTCTGGTAGGTAGTCGGACTGGGCTTTCTCCGGGCCAGGCGCGTGGACCCCGACTGGCCGCGAGACTAATGTCGACGGCTCGGACCTCCGTGCGCGAACGGATCTGACACCGCTGGTCTTCCCATCCCGTCTCGCGCCGGCCTGGGCAAGGCCCTCGAGTCGGGGGCAACGAGAGGGGGGGATAGGCATGGGTCAGGAGGGGAAGAAACACACAGACACAATTAATCGTCGATTCCCCCGGAAAATATGGGATTATCCCGGCAAAGCAACCTAACAGCGATATGTAGAAGCATATCTGAAAGCATTCCCCTTAAGATTCAGATGAAAATCCAGTTGTAGAATTCTGCTGTTCTCGCAGTCGTAGTCGCATTCGCGATGACAGTCGCAGCGGCAACGGCAGTCGCAGTCACAGCCTCAGCCTCAGCCTGCCTCAGCCTCAGCCTCAGCCTGCCTCAGCCTCAGCCTGCCTCAGCCTCAGCCTCAGCCTGCTTCAGCCTCAGCCTCAGTCTGCCTTCAGCCTCGGCCTCAGCCTCAGCCTGCCTCAGCCTCAGCCTGCATCAGCCTCAGCCTCAGCCTCAGCCTGCCTCAGCATCAGCCTGCTTCAGCCTCAGCCTCAGCCTGCCTCAGCCTCAGCCTCAGTCTGCTTCAGCCTCAGCCTCAGTCTGCCTTCAGCCTCGGCCTCAGCCTCAGCCTGCCTCAGCCTCAGCCTGCCTCGGCCGCAGCATCAGCCTGCCTCAGCATTCAAAATGTGGCCCAGGAATGGAGTTCTGGGAACTAGAAGAACACGAAGTGGCCTACAGTTGGCTCCGGGCATTCAAAATCATGCCCAGGAATGGAGTTCTGGGAACTCGAAGAGCACGAAGTGGCCTACAGTTGGCTCCGGGCATCCAAAATGTGGCCCGGGAATGGAGTTCTGGGAACTCGAAGAGCACGAAGTGGCCTACAGTTGGCTCCGGGCATCCAAAATGTGGCCCGGGAATGGAGTTCTGGGAACTCGAAGAGCACGAAGTGGCCTACAGTTGGCTCCGGGCACTCAAAATGTAGCCCGGGAATGGAGTTCTGGGAGGTCGAAGAGCACGAAGTGTGTGACTGTTGACGAAAAACGAGCCCGGCTCTGTTCCCGGTTCTCCAGAATGTGGCCCGGGAATGGAGTTCTGGGAGGTCGAAGAGCACGAAGTGTGTGACTGTTGGCGAAAAGCGAGCCCGGCTCTGTTCCCTGTTTTCCAGAATGTGGCCCGGGAATGGAGTTCTGGGAGGTCGAAGAGCACGAAGTGTGTGACTGTTGGCGAAAAACGATTCCCGGTTCTCCTCCCCGGCACCCGCCCAGACCCCCCTGTGGAGTCCAGATGCTCTCTTTTGACCCTACTAGAAACCTATCAGCAAACGCTGTTAGGTAAAAATATGGGAAGGGGGGGGAAAGACAGAAACCCAGAAAATATGGGAAAATATGGAGAATCCTTTTATTTGTGTGCATTTATTTGTGTGTCCTAGGGCCCCCTCAATGGGGGGGGATGCATCGATCCCCAACCGCCCGTTCATCGCCGATATGGGGCCCGACAGCCCCAGCCTTCACAGGAAGGTGCGGACTCACTACCGGGGGCCTGTCGCCGATCTATCGGCGCTGTATCGTCGATCCCAGGTCGATGCATCCCCCCGTATGCCAGTCCCCCCCTATCGTTGCCCCTCATCGCGCCACCGCTCCAGGACCAGACGGGTTCACTTATAAAGCTTGCGCCGCCCTCCCTGAGCAGTTGGACACGCTGCACGGTCTAATGCTTTCACCTGTTCCGAGGGGACCCTGTTCCGCTTGCTTTGAGCGATTCGGTGTCTGCATTTCTTCCCAAGGGCTCCCGCCCTGAAGACATGTTCGACTGCGTTCGCCAGGCCAGCCAAGTAAGATCCCTGTCGCTCCGAAATTCTGACTCTAAGATCATTGCCAGCGCCGCCAACCTTCTCTTACGCGATCTTATGGCGAAGAGGGTTTATAAGAGCCAGCGCGGCTTTGGTATAGGGTGGAACTTCGCCCGCAGTGTAGTCTTCATGGACGCCAGTGCTCGCGCCCGTAGCGTTGACATCAACGCTGATACACATTGGCCACGCCTCGTAGCCTTTGATGTAGCAGCAGCGTCCCCCTCTGTTGGACACCAGTGGTCGTTCGAGGTCTTGCGTCGCCATGACATCCCGCAGGGATCTCTCAGCCTCCTGCACTCCCTCTATTTCCGTCCCCGGGGCCACGGTAGATCCAACTGCTCCTCCTACGGCAGATCCAACTGCTCCTCCTCCTCCTCCTCCTCCTTCTCCTCCTCCTCCTCCTCCTCCTCCTCCTCCTCCTCCTCCTCCTCCTCCTCCTCCCCCTTCTCCTCCTCCTCCTCCTCCTCCGCCCTACGCGTGGGCACTGGGTACCGTATCCTGGTACTCAGTCTTCACGTACAGGGCATACTATCAGGGCTGCTCGCTGCAGCAGGCAAGGAGAGAAGCAACCGGGTCCAATTTTCGGAACCAGCGGCAAGCAGTTTGCTTGTCCGCATGTGGCGCCTTAGCTGCGCCCGTGGCCTGGAGGTGGGTACCAGGCACGGGGATTGCGCATTTGGTCGGGAGGTGGGGTCGTGTGGCCCGTGAACCCCATGGGACCTTGTGTCCACCCGCCCTGGGCTTGTCGTATTCGTACAGTCCGGTTGCGCATGCCGCTCGATTCGGCAGGGTTGGTCGTGGTTTTCCTGGCCGAGGAACCTGAAATAACGGTGAAGGCTTCAGGGGACCATGCCACCCTACGCACCGAGCCGTCTCGTGCGGGCAGCGAGTCACGGCCGACGTGGTCTTCTCACCGTTCCTTGGTCTGCTTGTTGGGAAGACATCGTCTTTTTACAGTCTTCAGTCCTCCTCCTCCTCCTCCTCCTCCTCCTCCTCCTCCTCCTCCTCCTCCTCCTCCTCCTCCTCCTCCTCCTCCTCCTCCTCCCCCTCCTCCTCCTCCTCCTCCTCCTCCTCCTCCTCCTCCTCCTCCTTTTCCTCCTCCTGTGTCGCGGAGTCCTCCAGGGGTGCCCCCTCTCGGGGTCTGTGTGGGCGTTGCTTGTCGACCCTGTGGCGAGGCTGCTCCCTGCGGCCGTCGAGGAGCCACCCCGAGGAGACACCCCCGGAGGCGTAGGTGTGCGCGCCTATGCTGTTGGCATTGTGCCCCCTCGGCGTCGCACTCTTGCTTCCGGCATGCCCCGTTTCGAGCAGATCCGCGAGCATGCCCTGCCCAGGCCGCAGGAAAGCAAGTGCTGCATAGTGCCACTTTGGGCTGACTGCGTAACAGTTTTGGCTGCTCGCACCCGCGCTTGGT